ACTCAAGAATTTTTTGAAAAATTGGATTAGCTTTGTTATTGTTCATGGTATCGGGTAAACTATTAGTATGTTTTTATGTAATTCGTAAATCTTTGTAACGTAAAATTTATTTTAATCTTTTTCATACTCTGAATTACTAAATATTCATTTATGTTTTCAATTCATGCCGTGTTTTAATAAGATGTTCTGCGAAATAGGATTTCATTGATGTTCTATTTCATAATTTTAAGGCTTGTATGTGTTCTTGGAAATATAAAATATTAAATTTGAAGATGATTTACATTGCACGTTATTGAATCAATTGTTAACTAATATCAACACCAAGTGCAAAATGTTGTTCAGCTACCCAACAGACAGTTTTATATAAACAGTTTTGAGCAACTTAGCTGCAAAAGGATACCCGCGACAACCGGTTTCTCCGGTCAAGTGTCAACATGCAAATGTTTTGCGGCGTCGTATTTTTACAATTGTAACCACAAATTGATGTTCCCATTATATATTCTTTGAGAGTCAGTCGTACAAACCAGTTTCTGCGACTGTACCCAATGTACAACTGTACAGTTGTACTGTTGAACTGTTGTGACTGTACAGTTGTACACATTGAATCCCTTATATAATGTCATGAGGATGAAGATCCTTGTGCCCTTGCAAGTCAGACTATGCGAACAGTTGTTTGTCTTTGGTAGCCTAAATTTGTTTGAAAATTTTAGTTTAAAAACATATGTTTTATCACAAAATGCAATTTAAGTTTTTCTGTGTGGTCAAAATATACGAAAGTTCACGTAATTTACTCTTTCCTACTTTACACTAAGAAATTTGATGGAATAGAAATAGTTGTATCATTAGGCAAATAAAAAAATCGTCTTTTTACATTGTTGGATTCATGTGACGCCAAACTTTATTTTTCATACAGCCTGATCATCTAGAAAAAAAAAATTGTTACGTATGTTGGTTATTCCGCAATTGAACGCTTACCAATAAATATCAAACAATAATCTATTGCAGTATTGTAGTCGAAATAGCCTTGTTTTTGCTTAATGCTTTGCATAATGCTCGAAAGTGTAGATAATTTCGCTAACGGTGAGCTACTCTTTGTTTAACCACTCATCCTTATAGCCAAGGACCGCTCGTTATCCTTAAGCTATACAGCCTTATCAAGGTTATCTAATGCGAACATCAACTCAAATGTGTTTGTAACGACTGCAGGAATCCTATTTGCGTGTTATGAAAATATGTTTGGTTGTAGACTACCACAGATAAGATATTATGACAGATTTTCCTTGTATCGTAAGCAAGAGGTTAATAGACTCGTTGTTGGGTAGACTTCCGTATCTGTTGGCACAAACAACCGAATGAAAACATCGATTATTCGATGTTTCATTCGATATATCGTTTGGTTAGTTAAGTTAACCTTACCTAACCAACCAAACGATATATCGAATAATCGATATATCGATCGATATTTTCATTCGGTTGTTTGCGCCAACACGGAAGTCTACCCTCGTTGTTTATGTGTTGATCCTTTTAACTACAAAAGTTGTCTAGAGGCGACTAAAAGTCAAAAGCACAGTACCTCTGTTATGGATGGCATGGGTTCAAATCCGAATAGTCACTAACAGGTTTTGTGGTTTTGGTCATGTGGTAATACCGCAACCAGGTGGTTTAGAGCCCACTAAGGGGTCTAACTACCAATAAAAAATAAACATGTGTGTTCTTAGGCGATGACATATTTCTCTGCATAGCAGAACACCCAACGCCAAAAGCAATATGTACCACTGAATAATCAAATAAACCACATAAACATCCCCCCCATCACCGAATGCGAAGTAAAATGCACCCAATCCGATGTTGTAAATAAAATGTAAGAAGATTTTTGGTTAGTTTGTGATGAATACTTCAATGTAATTAACACATTTCTGATTATTTCTATGCAAAATAACCAACGGATGAAGTACAATAATTTTGCAATATTGTTCCTGTTCAATATAAGCTGCTGTTAAAACAATGGACTTATAAGTCCATTACACTAATTACCCCCCCCCCCCCCTTGTTATAACAAGGGGCGTTATCGTGAAATTTGAGAGGTGAACCCACTAAAACTACTTTAGGGCATAGACTCTCTATAGCCTCTTTTATTTGCAGAATGTAGATATGCCGTGGATTGAACCCGGCACTCTCGCAACTATAGACACTGCAGCATCACTATATACTAACTCCCCCCTCCATTCCGATCCGGTTCACAAGTGACACAACATTGCCGCCAATGTGATTAACGCACGCACACGCATGCTTATCCGCGCGGCAGATCTTAATTGTAACGATCGTTCGTGTTTGCGACACGTGAATTTAGAGCGGTGATCGTCTGTGGCAACTACAACTGCAACTACAGATCACAAAGATAACAGTCGAGATAGTTTGCACACCGTGGCTTTGATTAAACAAACTCCTTAGATTTCAAGAGATAGGTTTTATGTTGTGTGTTCTTGTTCTTCCTTACCAAGGACTAAATGAGTATGTAAATTTGTTTTCCCCAAAGATTTAGAAAGCATTTAACCTAAAATACTTGAATTATAACCTCAAAAATAAGATTCAAGATTTTTCTAGATTTTCCAAAGTCGAAGAGTCTCATATTATATCGCCATATTATATCGAACAAAAATTTAAGTTTCGAGAATTCCAAAAATGATCAAAGTCTTATCAACACTAGTACACATGGGAAATTTCTCAGTCCTTAGCTTATAGATTGAAACATCACCAAAAATATTGATTGTCATAAAAACCAACAAGTATTGGTTGGCTAGTGACTTAAATTGATCAAAAGCCAAGTTCAACAAAACAATAGTGCAACAAGTGTTCAAGTGGTGTTTCTATTTTCTGACCACATTATGGCAGAATATCAAGTGATGGAGGAAAATAATAAACTTGTTAGATTACATGTGAAAACTATATACCGTAGTTTAATTTTGTAAATGAATTTATTATAACTTTTTATTCAAACATATATAGTTAAAACAACTCTTAAAGATAGTTTTGGAGCCAGTGAAACAGGTCTAATCGTACAATAATTGTTATATAATTTAATATAGTTAATCCTATACTATAATACCCAAGCTAAGCCCGCCTAGCTAAGTCTGTTTGTCTGTCTTTATATATATCTCGACATCCAGCAGAAGGAATTTTTGGAATTAGGGACTCATAGCCCTAAAAAAACGTGATTGGTAACAGCCCCAGGAACATTCACATTTCGTTACACAACGCATTTGTAAATTTAAAAATTTTAGCCTTATAGGTTGCTATGTTCATTTTGGTTGAACAAAATAAAAAGCTCAAAGTAAACAAAATACTTGTAACATGTGTTTACAACAAGCCTTCTACAGTATACTAGTAAATAACAAAATACAGTACAAAGGGAAAAACATCAGTTGTAACCCAATAGTCAATGGTTGTAAATATTTAATTACACTGAAAATTACTGGACATAGGGGAAAATAGAAGTGTTTTGTATTGGTGCCGGGTCGAGTGCACTGGTGTCAACTCAATGTTTCACTCTCATTTAAGTGTATATTTTACTATTTTTATTCACTCTTTTATTATTTACATAATTTGGACAGCTGTATTTAGTTGAATTATACTTTAATACTTTTCATTGAAATGGCGACCATAAATTATAGGTATTTTAAGCCAAGTATGAATTAGTATTCAGTTAATTGTGTTACAATAATCTTTATAGTAAGCAATATACGCTTAATCGGACTTACCTTCTTCAGTTAATCCATCATATGAGAGTATTTTAGAGAGTGCTGCTCGTGCTAACGTTTTACTCATACTTAAAGAAAGATTTAATTTAGTACCAAGTAATAAATCACACCCCTTACATTTGCTGTACTCCCTGTATTAACCTGGTATATTAATTCCTACTATAGGAACTAATATCAAAAATACTTCTTTATTGTTTTTAACATTTGTTTTATTTATTTACACAGAAAGAAATGTGTAATAAAAATAAACTAATTTGTTGGATTACCAAGTTAAAATATCTATCATAATAAATTGAAATTCCACTGAAACTTAAATAATAAAAGCCGAAATTAGTTATAAAGATAATGCGAGTGAGTTTCCATACCATCAACTTACTTACTGTAGTCAAATCTATTAATTTACGAAAATTGGATCAAAACTTGATAGTCCTTTGCAGTCTACTCGCTAATAGCTACTGTTAGTTATCAGTTAACAATAGACCTACAGTAATTAGTTCTGTGTTTCTTAGATACAGAAAGAAGGCGTGTGCATCATAAGTTAACTACTTTAACATATGAGTCTGTTTCAATGTCTCCACCATCTAAAGCATCTAGCTGCAAGTCTTCAATTACAACTTGTATCTCAAATTAAGGAACTAATTCTATAGCATTACTTAAGTTTTATCACTGAGTAGTGTGACAGAAAATAAGCAATATTTTTCATTACTTAAGTCCTCTGCCCTTTGAGGGAGAGCTAACAAACTTTGAAGACAAAGAATAAACGATTCTTCATTTATTCTACTTGGTTACATTCATCGATATGACACTACGTGTATACAATTCAACTTTGATATTCTGCAAACTTTGATAATAATTGCTTTTGAAAGTTTTTTCTACCTTTAGAGAAAACGAACAACCTTTGACGGTTTAAAATATCAACAGTTCTTCAGTCGTTTATTTCACAGGGTAACGTTGAATAATCCAACTCAAATAATTAACTTGAACTAAATGAACTTATACTACGACTACGATTCCCTGATTCTGGAAACTTTCATGAAATATTGTTACGATAACTCTGCTTTATAGGTTGTAAAATCATGAGTCATATTTTGCATAGCAGTGACAATAAACTTTACCTATCTGCAGTATTGTTCATCATCTAACCTTGGTGATAATTATATAGAGCAAGAAATGTCAAAGTACAGTTTGTGTTGATATAATTTGGGTATTGGGTATGATTATAAGAACTCTTATTGTTTACAGGCCATGACCGGGCTAGAAGTATGTGGGCATGTTGACGTCAAAGTTCCCTCAAAAGGCAGAAAATTCGGGGTTTGGAAGGTAAGATTTTGAGATACCAATTTAGTAGCTAGTATGATTGTTTTTATTTTTTTTTATTTTTTAAGACGTTGGCAGTCTCTTTTAACCTTAAGAGAGAGATAACTTTCCTTTAGGATGGGTAAGAAATTATTTTAAAAGTGTACATTTTTTAACAAGCTAAACTGATAGAATTGTAAACTATCATCTTTGAGTGACATTGACTACCACATTAACAACTAAGGTGGAGTAGTATTTTTCATCACTGGGAGCGAAAGTGGCTTTGTTGAAGTCATAATTTATCTTTTATTATAAACTAGCAGAGCACCCGTCCTTTGTACGGGTTTGGCGTATAAGTATAAAATGCTTATTGCACTTATTTAAAAATTTAATACGTTAAAGTTATGTTTTCTTGAAAAATGCAATCAGAAAAATATTAGAATTCTAATGGATTATTAAAACAAGTTACCTTAAAGAAAACACACACAAAGTTGAATAGTATTTCATAACAAGTATCGAAAGTGGCATTTTCCGAAGTATATTTGTTGCTTGTGGCAAAAAGTATCCTATGAACTTCATCCAAGAAGGTGTTTACGGCTTACATGAAGTTCCACAACATGCCTCCCACGGGAACTGTCATGTAAACACTTCACCTTGTAACGTAATATACTATTTCTTTACGTTCGCAGGCTTGGAGGCAGCAATGGTGCATTGTAAGATGTGGGCAAGACAGAACAATACAGATGGTCCTCGGTCACGGACACAACAGTCCTACGAGCTGTATAGTGATCCCATACAACGCTGTACTGTGCAGATCAGAATCTAGGTATGTACTATAACCACAATGATTACAGAGTGTTTTGTAATATTTAACAATTACTTATTTCTCAATAAGTTGAGATTGTCGAGTCTTTAAAAGACGTGAAATTACATCTTCGCTCTGTTTTTTCAAAAGCTTTCTGCAGAGTCAGTGCTCGATTTGTGGGGAACACAGGAGAATGGAGGTCCCTCCCTTTCAGAAGGATAAAAAAATTTGCGTAAATTGGTAAATAGGTACAAATCACATTACAGTAGCTCCCTCTTATCCGGACTCCACGGGACCGAGGCCAGTCCGGATAGCGGTTTTCCAGTTAAGCCGACGTCCCAAAAAACTCGTTAAAACGGACTATTTACGGTGATATTTGAATTAAAATCTTTCCCACGAGAACAGCCGTTTCAGTACCCCCCACTTCCTGCCGATCTAGTCTGGTTAAACCGATGTGCTGATAAAAATTTTCTGGTTAAAGAGAAGTCATTTCCGTCGAGTGTAGTCCGGTTAAAAGGTGTCCGGATAAGAGGGAGTCTACTGTAAATAGGTTACTGTTCCAGCACCTCATTTTTTACAAATCGAGCATGGTACAGAGGTATTACTTAACAAAATAAGCAAAATCTTCCAGGTCTTGAAATGCCACCATTACAATGACATTCTCCTAACTAACTTTGTAAAAATTTTCAACACAGACAAGGTCTGTGCAATTTTACATTGTGCATTGAAATTGACTTAAAATAGAATGTGGGGAGCTTTTCTAGCCCACTAATCTCTCACTTTACAACGGAGTTTGTAAATGGTACACACGGTAACTGATAGTTAAGGTGTAATTGATATGTCTTCATTCATAGGGATTGAGAATGAAAAAGAAAAGAAATTAGATGGAAAGGGCTCAGGTGAGCAGCCCCATTCTTTAAGTTGGAAGATTCCTGATCCCAAAGCAATGTATATACAAATTGTAATGGACAATGTTCTAAACTCATCTCTCAAATAACATAAACTTAACATCACCGAAAATGAAATTATAAAAAGAATCATCTTACTGACCAATGACCATTACTGTTACAGGTCAAGGCCATATGCGTTTGGCGTCTTCTGCTCAAGCAGTGTGACCCGTTTCCGTCAGCCAATCGTATTTTTAGCAGCGCGATCTGAGACTCAGTCCCAAAATTTGATGCTCAAGATAAGAAATTTAATATCAAAACCAAAAATACCAGGTAAATTTGTGATTTTCAATTCTAGTTTTTAACTACTGTATTGCATGTAAGATAAAAATATTTCAACATTGAAAAGTACTTTTGTTAAATAGCATTGAGTGTCGTTTTGAAATGGGAAACGTATGGTCACAAGTATTCTTTTTTACCAGTTGGAGGTTTCTGTGTGTGTTCAACTCAGACTGATCCAACTAAAACTTTGATTTCAGTGGAGCCAGGACTATTCTCCGTATCTCTGATAGACAATACACACTCTCGAACCGCAGGGTTGGCAGGTCTGTATGGGACTCTGAGCACCTCTCTGACAGGCATCACAGTTGGCGACCCTGCTACTGGTCAGATCAAGGTCCATTGGCGCTGGCCGCAAGTGGATAGAGTCAGCCTAGCTCCTGTTTGTACACCGGAAGATAAGGGTCATGTTGTTATCCTGCATACTTCCAGGTACTGTACTTACAAAAATAGTTACTATGCATAAGTTTAAAAATGCACGTGTATGCATTATAGATCACCAAATATAATGCTTAGCTTCAATATTTAATGGGAAAGTAGTCAGGATGTTACATAAGGTTTTGTTAAACAAAACATAAATTCATATTGATCACAACAAGTGTATATTGAATTGACTGATGGAATGGTGTAGACAACCCATCTATGTGGAACTGTTTAATCCATATTTTTTCTCCTATGATAGTTGGGAAGAATATGAAAGATGCTATAGTTGATTCAGTTTAAAAGTTGGTATGTTTGACAGAGATTTGTATCAGTGCACTCCTGTCAGTGGCCCAATTTCACTATGTTAGCTTATGTTCAAGGACTTTAACATAGAAATGGAATGTCTAGTTGTTTTCTTGGTCAAAGCATAAAGTTTAAGATGGTATTACAAACAACCTAACATAACATTTAGTTTTGTTCAAGGAGGTTCTCTAGGTCAGGATTTTGAATTTTAGAAGGGCAGCTAGCTTACCTAAGAAGAAGTACTAACAGGTTGCATAGAATACACAGATTGCACATGAATCACAAAATATTCCGTCCCAAATGTTTATTTGTTTGACAGTGTTCAAATTCATTTGTTGACTAATGACTAAGTTCCCCAGGGGACGAAATACTGTAAGTTACCTTTACTTATTCTAAGGTAAGCTAGCAGCTATCCCTTTCCCATACAATTCAAACATTCATTTATACATAACCTACAAAGTTTTAATGAATTTTTTCCTCTCGTTCCAGTGAGTTCTCCTGTGGAGAAGGAGAGCTGCGTCTCTTCTGTCTCCAAGGTAGCGAACTTGACACTGAGATATCCAAGTTCCTATCCAAACCCCAACATCGCCTCACGTCCTCCCCCCTCCCCCCTCTGCCACACCCCTCACCTGCCCTGCTGGCGTCGCGTCGCCTCAGTCGTAGCGAGGGGGACCTGCGCTGCTGGCCGCAAGACTCCAACTTCTCTTTGTTTCATCTCCGCACTCAGAGCATGTCGAGAAACACCTCCAACGATAAGGTGGGTTTGAATTGAGTTTCAACTGTGGCATAGTTGGATAGCACAAAAAATAAAAAGATCTGTGTAATTGTGTCAGTTATTGAATAGATATGAAAGTGTCTGTGGTCAACCATTTTTGAAAGTAAGTCTTCGAATAAAACCACTTTTCCGCTTTTGAGTCTGGATCTTACATAATACAAAAAGCGGACAATAATTCGACAACCTTGGATTAAGTGCATGGCTTCTGCCACTCTTGCAAGATAAGATAAGGAGATAAAAAAAAAAAAAAACAATGAAGTACAATGACCACTCGTCACAACTGTAAAATATGAGATAAAGTCTAAATGGCAAAAGCAATGCACTGATGCTGTTCATTGAAGCTACTTACTTAGGTCAGTTATGTGTCATGGTCTTAATTGGCAAGAGTTAATCTGGAACTTGTGTAAATAATAAATATTCTCCTCAGGTTCGCAACAAAAAACTTCTAGTTTATCAGGTTTTGAGTTAGCAAGACCTTACTCGATAGCAAAAATTGTAAGATAACAAAAACAAATTCATGCTAATTAATTGTCTAATTACTATTTGGACATTTCCCTACAGGTTGCCAGTAGCCTAATCCATGCAGGGCTCGGCCTCATGTTAACAACCCCTGGGTGTAGTGAGCCCGACTCCCTCCACGACTACCAGTGTCTGGACTCCTATTGGCCAGAGCCAGATACGCTGGGAGATCTGCCGAACCTAGAGTCCCGCAGAGCACAGTTCCGAGACGGCCGTCGGGAGTCTGGAGTATCAATAGCTTCCGGGATCTACGAGGAGATTGACGAGAACGATTACGAGAGCATGCGACCTCAGGTGGAGGATCCCCCTCCACTGCCGCCTAGGAAGCACGAGCCTAGCGGGTAGGTGGTGATTTGGAGGGAAATCTGTAGTTATTCATGCCTAAGTGACCCATCTATGTACCCGTGCACCTCCATTGCATAATGGGCCACTGAAACGCAATGGGCTAAAGTATCCCTTCTTTTTTGTCCCACCTTCACATCCTAGGGTGCTAGGTTCTACACATTACTTCAGGCTAATCCTAGAGGGTCGCGGCATTATCACATAGATAAAATTCATTTGTGATTAGAGTGATTTGAATGCAGGACTTCGGGCTCCAAAGCCCCATGCTCTACTACTAGATCAGCTCGCTCCCACAGTATACTCCTTCTAAGAGTAAGTAAGCTCACTCTTTATACACTTTCAAAACAAGTTGCCTCGGGTATTCTGAGGTTAGATGTGTGAAACATCAGACCACAGTAGAACTGAAGTTTTCAGTTCAGAAAACATCTGCAACAAATCGGTTTGTATGATAGTGCACTACTATGTATGAAAAACGGTAGGTCAGAGGAGGAAACAGCTGATTTTACCTGCTCTTTGACTATATGAGGAGCTCTTTGAGTTAAGAAGGGCAACTCTTGGCAATCAGGTAAGAGGGAGTCATCTTTTTAGAGGAACTGATTGGTATACTGCAGACGTTTCTCAGGTGCTTGGATATTTATGGTCTCTTAAACAACTCATTGGTATGTGCATAAATTCTACAAATCCGGATGAAGTACTTTGTGGCTTCGACCTTTTCCTTTACCATAAGTTAAGACCTGTGGATGTAAATTTATCAGTAACTAGCGCCTCTAACACTTTAAGTAGGATAGTAATGTTTAATTTGAGTATTAATTTTTTTTGCAATTTGGCCAAATTTTCTTTTACCCTGTTAGTGAGCCAACACTCATTTCTTTAACACATTCCAATACCCTGATCGTCAAAGAAGGTAGTCGTAATTTGTTCTCCGCTATGAATAACCTTTGAAAATTTATAGAATAGATGTCCTATTACCTATTCCTATGTCAATTCTGTAGCGATTTTGGAATAAAAATGAACACTTTAAGATGAGTGGGATGTGGTCAATTATTGATTTCAGTTGAGTACGTTAATTTTTTAACTACACCAAATTGAGAGGAAAACGCATTGTAAACTACAGAATCTTTTTCACCAAATTTTTAACCCTTTATTTTATTGTGTTTGTGTTGTTTTTCATCACTAAAACTATCGGTTAAGAGACAATACATATAATTCAAAGAACCTACATAAGCCAAACCACAACAAAATTAAATATTTCCAGGAATTGTAATTGCTGGGAGATTTAACCTGTCTTTTTGCCTGCAGCTTATTTAATAGTTTGCCAGTTCGTAGTAAACCAAAGACTAGTTTTAGTAGACAGTATGTGTTGCCGCTGTGCCAGCTCACCTCTTGCTCTGCTTGAAACATTCCAAGCACAGGTCGTTGAGGCTTATTTAGTTGGGTAAGTATAGGTTAACAGAGGCTGCCAACCTCTTAAAAATATGTATTGAATGAGGTTTGTACAACATATTTGTTTTTCTATTCAGGTCAGAAGAAGAATATTCTACGCCAGATCTTATTTACTCTGTCGCTGAAGACAAAGAAGAAGAAGAAGAAGAACCACTATATCTACCTATGTCTCCGGGAAATCGTAAGGAAGATACTTACGTTGTGATGGCGAACCTCATCAACAAAAACCACATATCCGAGCCAGTATTGTGATAAGTTTTATTCATTCTATTTCTCGTCTTTCAATTATCAAGGACTTTCACTTTCATGACAAACTCAATAAAAAGACTTTCATCATTGTCTATAAAAGACTTAAGATTTTTTACTTATTAATTATAAGATTGTACATAAGTTAGGGATGTTTTTCTAGTAACGTTACCCATACATTTTATAAATTGAATTTTCACAATAAATGTTTTAACTGTTTTGATTTTCAGTCTAAATTAGTGTTACGATATATTGCGAGATTTTAAGGGATTCCATAAAATTTATTTAGGATGTTTATATTTGTAATCTTTGCACAAATATCTATTAATAAGAACTGAGCGCTTATATTTTTGGACTTATTGTGATGTTTCGATGTTTTATTCTCTAAGCAGTTTTTATACGTGTATTATTCTGGTAAACTCAGTCAAATATACTACTTTGTTTATAAGCTAACTGGTTCCGTTTTTTTACCCTTTTTTTCTAAAGACATTCCCATTTTCAGTGTTGAAAAAAATTTACATTACTCTAAGGCAGTGGGAAAAATGTAAGTCCAACAACAATAAATAAATAATTATATTAACATTTCTAAAATACCTTATCTTGTTAAGAAAGACACATTTCTGGCGGCAAGTTGAAACGTTGAAGTCAGATTGGTGGGAAATGACTCGCAGCATCGCATATGATTAAGCCACTCCACCATCTGAAATAATTTGGGTTTGCTATAACATTTTGAGAATTTATATAAAGTAATACATGACATAGAATATCACAACTTGGAAAACTTCATCAGATAAATAAAAAAAACTAAAAATCATTTAAACAAACAAATTAACAGAATAACATTTTTGAAAAGGAAATAACAATAGTTATATTTCCTTACTCGTGCATAAAGTTATTTTTTCTACACAAGTTCAATTTTGACAACCGCGACTAATCCAAGGTTGGAAAATGAAAAAAGGGCAAAAATACACTTCTGGATACTTTTTGTCATATTGGGTCATTACTCATTATTTAAGCTAATTTGCCCACAAAACTATTTCCGTCTTGTTTTGCTATTGCATACAAACAGCTGATACTGTGTGAAGCAACACATTTTGCTCCACCAACACAACAGTAAATTTAAATTTGTCTTAAAGTCCATAAAGGGTACAATGTAAATGTTATTGTACTGATACAAACAATGTGAAACGATAATATTACACCACAGCAAATCTGCAGACTAAGAAAATTTCCATTCTCAATGGATTTTTCCTGCCTTAAATATTTTTTTTAACATGCCCGATTTATTCCCTTTATTTGAAATCATGAGGTTTAATGAGTATCGAGTACTTATGTTCGCTGCTGCTTATGTTAAAAGCTTAGTATGAACTAAATAAATTTGCCAAGTTTGATCAAAATATATCCATAGTCAAGAAAACCACAGCAGTTTACTTAATCTCCATAAAAACAACACAAGAAATTTTAATTTATATTTTTGTTTTCAATTTATTCTGTAACCATTAATTGTACAAAAATGAATTCTAATGGATGGTGTTTTTGGCCTCTGGGGATATCTAAATAAAAAATTAAATTGCTTCTTGGTCTAAGTCTTACCGTAAAACATAAAACAATAATAGCTTTTTCATCATACTCCAGCAAAAACAGCCGTTTTTAATGCATGCATTGGTCTAAAGTAGCATTTTTACTCTCTAGGGAGTAAAAATCAGCTGTTGTAAGCAGATGTAAATTTGGATTGTGGCAATTGTATCGATCAAAATTATTTATCGATTGATTTATTAGGTAAGGTGTTAGCCTGTTGTCGATTGCTCGACATATCGATGGAATAATGTACTGTAATATGTAATTCGTAATAGACGAAATGATTGAATCACTTACTAAACAGCTGTTTATTTGCATTAGCAGAATTGAAAACAAGCTGGAAGCCGTTTTGAGAGGTTATCTTTACATAAAAATTATTTAGTTTTGTAGCTTTGTGAGTTAATTAATGATGCAATATATGACAAAAATATAGTTCACTACACGGACAAAAAGTGACTTTTTCTCCCTCATTTTCCGACCTCGGCTTCGCTTCGATCGTAAAACTTGACCTCGGGTCAAAAAGAGTAGTGATGAAATATACTATTCCCTATACTATATTGCAAATCTATCTATATAAATAAAAATGAATCCCTTTTTTTTGTATTCCATAACTCGAGAACAAATGCATCGAATTGGATGATTCTTTTTTTGTTGTGTTCCTTAGTGCCAGAGGAAGGTTTTTATGTAAGGAAATTTATAATCCATCCAACCGTTATTTAACAATCTGATTTTAAAAATTGAAAAAATTTCCTTTACATTAGCACAGAGTAAAATGTTTTCATTAAACTGTGGGATACAATAAAATGTGTGAAAAAAAAACAAAGTAATTTTCAACCAAAAGGTGAGTGAGCGTAGTGAACGAACTTCAACCACGACATGATTCAGCGATGCGAACGAGCTCATCTTGAAAATGAACGAGCATTTGACATAAAACTAGATTAGGACAGGACGACGTCTGTCGGGCCAGCTAGTTTGCTAATAAAAAGATTTGCTAAGGTAATAAAATAATGCAATAAAATTTTTTAAATGATGACTAATTGTTTTTGTAATAACAGCAGACAAATTTTAAATTAACAAAATTCACAGCTGAGGCCCTTTACTCAAACTGATTCTTATTTTTTCCCCTACAGAGTAACTTATTTAACCCTACAACGCATGTAAGAAGCGACATCCACAGTTGTACCAATGAACAGCTGTTTTTACTGCAGTAAGTTTAAATACTTACTGTGTTGGCATCACCAAACCGAATGACCAATGAGACGACAGCTTGAGGAAACCTGAGGGTTCTTGTGTCCTGTGCGAGGCTAGCCTTTGACTCTTGGAGCCCTGGAGCGAGGCTACTGAAGCCTGATATGATGTCGACACACAACATAAACACCGTCACTAGAAACTCCAACCCTCCCTAGAAAAGGAAAAAATTGTTAGGCCGCCTTCTCACAAGGTCTCAGCCACCCAAAAGTACTCTGTTTTATGTCGTATGATTCTTTTGTCAAAATGGAGTGGAGTGTTAAAGAACTCCTTCTTGTGCTTTTGTTACGTAGCAGAAGAAGTCAGACAAGAAAACAAAGAATGTGGGGATGCTTGGATGCATCCAATTCTTGAGAGGAGGCAAACAAGATCATAAATTAATTTTATTTCATAAACTTTATGTCCATAAAGACAAGTTTAATTTTTTTTTTGCAGTATATTAATTAGTTATTGATATAAGAGGATTAATTTACCTGTTGCGTCAATTGATCCTTAAGTTATGAAATAACTACGGCCGTTTCGTACTGCTAAACGAGTACATCTTCAGGTTGTCTATGAACGTTAAAATACGGCCTTCTCATCCGTGGTCAAATGTGCTGACGACTCCACCCACGGATGAGAAGGCCGTATTTTAACGTTCATAGACAACCTGAAGATGTACTCGTTTAGCAGTACGAAACGGCCGTAGTTATTTCATAACTTAAGGATCAATTGACGCAACAGGTAAATTAAACCTCTTATATTTGCATTACCTTGATCCAGAGGCTAACCCATCATATAATTATTGATGTTTCTATTTGGTGGTGTTTGATGAAACTTGTTATTTTCTGTCTGTAGGTTCAACATTTTTATTCAAAGCAACCAGACAATTTGTGTAATTTAAATATACAAAATGTTAGATATAACAATTACATATGTATTTATCACACCTTATTATCAGCTGATGAAAGATGAGACTGTCCCATAAGTTCTCGTAGCCAAGGCCAGGCAGTTTCATGGTTCCTCAATTTGTACATAACCTCCGTCACCAACTGCATAGCCAATGGCTGTTCCCTATGGGAAACAGTAGCAACTGATAAACACATGGCTACCAACATTTCTTCCCTGATAACTCACTCTCGATATCTTGCATTTAACAATTATCTGTTCTAAATCAACATATCTACTAGTTACCTTCGGTGATTGTTCAGGGACAAATTATCTGTAATATGTAGATTTTTTGTTTACAATAGGATAAATTACTTGAATTTCACAAACCAAGAGTTCTTCACTGCTAAATTATGAAAGTGTATAAATACATTGTACAGTTTCAAGATTCTTTGTCTAAATACAGATTGGAAGTACTAAACAATCTTACTTTTCTCATTTTGCACTCACTGGCCGACTGGCCATTATATTGGACCAAAAGAAAACTCTCTTCATTAGTTGAAAATGCTGTCAGTGACAGTGAAATATTCTAATGTTTTGTGTATATAGTGTAAAGTGTTGTGTATCCTGTGCCAGTTTGGACCCTTTCCCATTCAGGTAAGTCTGCTATCCTCACAAACAATTCTGAACCCCTAGCCCTTGTGCTCTATGTTACATTGTTACTCTTTTATTTGTGCTTATAATGTTAGTAAATAAAAAAAAAAAACAGGTATAAGCTTTTTTTATTCTGTGGTGTGGATAAAAATTGTATACTCTAAATTGCTATAAATAAAAATCTGTGACTTTTTAGTGAATGCTCTTACTTCAGTGACAATATTTTAAAACAATGTTTAAGCAACTAACATTAGTAAACCCAAAACAAACAGCTAACAGTAACCAAACTACAGAAATGATCTCACTTCTTTCTACACCCATAATTTATGTTTGGGTTAAAAGACGTCCTTTGGCATCCCAAAGGTGATTATTGTACCCTTAGTTGACAATAATAATCATTACACAGTTAAACAATAATTAGTAAACTAGGATAACACTATTTGCATTAAAACTTTATATTGATGGATCTAAAAGAACTGATTGGGCATTTTCACCAGTACATACCCTATGTTACTTGCTGCAGCGTCAATAATCTCGTTGATCCAGTTGAGTGGGTTCTGAGTGTCTGGAGTGAGCGCCATGTATGCTCGCAAGTGGAAGGCCTTCTGTAGCTGAGCGCTCGTCACTTCCCACATTGTAGAGGTGGAGGTCATACTCTCAGTGACACTCACTGGCAACTCACTTACACAGGAGAAGTAGTCTGAGAGTACCTGCAGTATGACATACATTAGACCAGTGTTTCTGGAGTGAGCACCATGTACGCTCGCAAGTGGAAAGCCTTCTGGAGCTGAGCGCTCGTCACTTCCCACATTGTAGAGGTGGATGTCATGCTCTCAGTGACACTAACAAGCAACTCACTTACACAGGCGAAGTAGTCTGAGAGTACCTGCAGTACGACATACATTAGACCAGTGTTTCTGGTGTGAGCCATATCCTGCCAGACACAATGGATGTCAGAACTGGGTTGTAATACTGCTTGGTTTATCAAGCTCCAAGTAAGTGGTGGTTAACATAAATAAACATATCAAAACAAATAACAAAAACTACAAACATTTAGAAAGAAAATTACATTTTAAAATTTTAAAATGATTAAATAAATAGGCTGTTGAATTTATGGAAGGTGTAATAGCTTAACCGCACTTCAAGGACAATTATTTTACCACACAATCTAACATCTTTTGCTAAAATAAACTAAACTAAGTTATCTTAAATAACTGCAGCTGTAACCCAACATAAGGATGGGTGAGAGAGTCTAATACTAAGTATGTAAATGCATTTCTCTTACATAGAAAATCAACATTAAAAGTTCATCTTACTGGACTCTGAGGCTCGATAGCTTCCCACAGCAGTTTGACAACTTGATGAAGCATCGTTCTGTTTGCATCATGGATCTTCTCTTCCTTTAACGTAGTCTTGATGCTGCTGATCATTTTTGAAAAGTGGTCGTAATCTAAAAGATCAAAATTGCTCATGTTAAGCTTGATATTAGTAACTAAAAAAAATCTTGCATTCGCGTAATGAATTAGGTAATTTAAGATTTTAGGAATATTATTGACTGACTCAGGTCCAGCAATTCTAAAACACTTCTAGATGAACAAGAGACTTGATATTTGGCAGGGTTTTGACTGGAACCCAAGAAAGTCCCATGATAATTCCCAGCGAAAAAATGTCAACCCCCCCTCCTCCCAAAAAAGTTTTTTTTCACTCAATGTTATTCTAATAGGGAATAGCAATGTAAATTACTGACTTTCGTTTACAGGCCTAAACCTCTTTGGAACAAGCTGGAGACTTCAAATTGTACAAGAATGTTGTGCATTTGACCTAAACTTATTGGGAAAATTTCCAAAGACATTTAGAATTATACTAAAATAAATATACGAGTAGTTAATTAAATAAAGTTTCAAACTATATTCAGTGTAGCCTACCTTTTTCCTTTAACGCTGAAAATAGAGTCCTCTCCAAGAAAGGTCGCAAGATGGTGGGAGGAATACCTTTGCATAGATCAGTCAGAGTCGAGTACAAGAACTCAATTTTATCTTTCTGAAATTAAAGTTTTAGCTTTAGGTTAAAGCTGAAGTTAAAGCTAAAGTCACATTAATTCAGGCTAGACCTAGGGGTTGCGGCAATATCACTTGGATAAAAATCCATTGGTGGCGGGATTTGAACCCAGGACCTTAGGGATCAAAGTCCTGCGCTTTACCACTAGACCAGCTAGCTCCCCACGTTTATCATTAGCTATAAATTACAAAAGTTATAAGTTTCAAAACAAATCAAATCTAAACAGCGAATTCCAACCACAAACAAAATCTTAAAATACAGGCTGTTATTCCAACAATTCTTGAAGATCAGAGGAGATTTAAGATGTTTGAATTTCACCCACAAACAAATACAAACATTTCTTACATTATTTCCACAATCGCTGATGTAAGCTTCGGTGGTTTTTCTAGCCAATGGAGAAATCTGGGACTGTTTAGAAGTGAGGCGGACAATATTCTTTGTCAACTCAGCATCCTCTAAACGCTCCAGTTGTTGAAGGAATGCCCATGATAAGGAGGGCAAAGGTTTGGGCGTTGGCTGTAGCAGAGCGACTAGACAGAGGTTGATCGTGTTAACGTCGTCTGCAGACGCATCTTTACATAATTGCTGCAAAGAGGTGGTTACGCCACGAACCACGCTTTGAGCTGGTAGATGTCCATAGCTCGTAGGTTCTTGTCTGTCTACCTGAAAATGAGAAGAATAAGAAATATTACAAGCTTGAACTGGTAATAAAAATTATTACATTTTAGCGAATTTCCCATATAGGGAATATTAGCGAATTTCCCATATAGGGAATAAGCTATTACCGTAGTACTCATGGTAAGACCTGGACCCGAGACCGATTTAATTTTTCATTTTGAGGTCCCTAGAGGCCAAAAACACCATCCGTTCAAATTCATATATATATATATATATATTTATATATATATTTATATATATATTTATATATATATTTATATATATATATATGTGTCCGTTAGCGCGATAACTCGAGCAAAAATGATCCAATTTTAATGAAATTTGGTACAAACGTGTAAACCTACGTTTATTCAAACGAGTTCGCGATCCAGCATAATCGGACCATGGGAACGGGGGTTTATGGGGGGTTTTATGGGGTAAAAATGGGTTTTTCCCATTTTTGAACCTAAAAACAATAAATTTTGCGATTTCTTTCTAAACCGTTTTGTAGAGCTTAAAAAAATAAATAATTTAGTATATTGAAGCGCTGTTGTATGCCTAACGGTCACGGAGAAAATTCAAAAATAGTGTAATTAAAAATTCCCATGTTATTCTTATGGAGAAAATGAAAATTGTTGTAGTTTACTTGTTTATGGGTATATATTGATAAAATTTGGCAAATTTATTTATTTCATCCTATACTATTGACGTATGGTCAAAAAACACTTTTTACCTTCCCCGTAGCAGCAAACCTAAGCACTCGTTAAATCTAATGTTATTTAAATAGGGAATAATATGTCTTATTTATGGAAATATTTTAGTAAAAATGTAATCAGACGAGTTGAAATTCGCTTAGTCTGCAGGTTTGCTGCGGCGGGGGTATTTATCAGTTAGAATAGGAAAACAATTTAGCTATTTTGTATATTTATTCAAGAGAAATGTATACATCTTTTCACCTATGGACTATAGTAAAGATTTTTTTAACAGATTGATTTCTGTGCCAATAGTGTGTTTTTTCAACACCAGTGACATTTTTGTATTAAGTTGTGTTATTCTAGTTTCTAGAAATTTAATTGTAGTAATTAATTGGGCAACAAAATAGTTAATTAATATAGTTTGTACAGTAATACTGTAATACAGGACACTAAATTCTTTAAAAAATTATAACTCACCCCCAAAAATTTTGTGAATTTTGTGAATTTTGTGAAATTTTGTTTTATGAGACAAAGTTACAAGGACAATAATGCTAAGAAAATGTTTGGGTGAATAAATAAATACCAAAACATCCAATGTAACATGTAAGTAAACCTTTTGAAATTCTACCCATTGAGTGAAATAATCTTACTCCTCTAAGTTTTATGAATCTATGATAAAAGCTGATGAAAAAAAAATTAAAGGTCAAAGATTTAAGAGTCGGCAGGGGTCAATAATTTTGCATTGCCGTTGAACATCAGATGCCAGGCGAAAAAGTAGTTGTCCAAGCGTCGATCAAAAACATGCGTTCACGTTGAAGCATATTAATCATGCACCGTAAGCTTTATTACAGAGCACAAAATTTTATATGATTCTTAAATATATTTTCCGTATGAATTGCTTTTTGGATTTTTTAAACTTTTGTTTTAGAGGTTGAAAAAATCACAGTTTAAGTCAACATATATTATGTAGTTTGACAAAATAATAAGTATTAAAACTAAAAAGTATATAGCAAATCACATCCGTGGTTTCAATAGCTTTAAAATTAGATGTTTTGTAACTTTTAATCTTAATAAACAATGCTGTAATATGCTTCAACCATTAATATTGCCGTTATGGGCAGAAATTCTAAGATGACCGGCGGTCCTGCCGACTCTTAAAACGTTTGTTTATAAATATAAGTAGAACCAAGATAAATTAAGACTGCAAGACAAATTTAGCTTTTAATAGGCATGATTTCACAATTGAATATTACTAACCAAAATCTTTTGATCATATACATTTGAAAAAATCCATTTTAAGGTTAGCTCTGTTCTTTACAACTGTCTAGACAGCATTGAAACATTATGTAAATTTAAAATTACATTAGGAAAATTCACTAACCAACCTGATACAATTTGGCACCTCTAAATGATGCGACTTCCATCTTTATCCATCCTGCCACGGCCTTACTGGCTGACTCTCTGCCAACAAAACTGAGGACTTGGACCCAGCACTCCCCTGGGACAACAAAGAATCAGGAACAGGAAACAAAGAACAACAAGAACATGAACAAAGAACAGGAATCATTCCCCTGGCATACATACACACAGGCTTCATCTGAGAACTGCAAGACACTGGCAAATGTATAACTACACCTAAGTAGAACATGGTGGAAGGTAAAAACACTAAAAACATAGGTTTGGTATTCCCGTTAAATGCTGACATCACCCAGATTGCAAACACCATTACACCATTTAGAAAAAATTTTAAAAACAATGACAATCAAATCAAAACAAATGTATACTTATATGGCAATCAGGTGATTTTTTTGGGTGAGACGAGAATAGCACACCTATGTTTTTTCCTTCCACCATGTAAGTAGACATTCAATTCATGTTTGAAAGTTGGAAACAAATAAATATTATTAGTTCATATCATGGTCAACTGTGAGGGAAATCTATTGTATAGCCAAAAAGTAGATATTCCATTTAAACGCAAAAGTTGCAACCAGATAAAAATAATTGTTTCACTAAACCACAACAAAGTGTGTTGATGTAAATTATGTTTGCTTTTGGGAATACAAACTTTTATATGGTGCCAAAAGTGAAATAGCAACACATTATGCATGATGTGATAAGAACCGTCCTTTACAAGACACTTAAAAAGTACCAATGGTGTTGACAAAACACAAACAAACAAATAAATATTGTACTCTAGCTTTTTTGGACCTATTTATCAATGATAAAAAAACTTTGAAACAATATTTAGGATTTCAAACATATCTAAATTTTTGTAAACAGCAAATAGAACTCGGGGTTCCTAATCTATTAAAAGGAAACTCTTGATCCAAGACCTGCACAAATCTAAAAAAATCACAGTACCTGGAACGTAATCAAGGACGTCCTCGGGTTTACGAGCAGCATCAGCTGGTGTCTTCACTAACTCAGGCGGAATTTTGACGCCTCGACGGAAACATTCTGGTAACATTTTCAAACTCATCAGGTCTGGCCGGAACTTGGATAAAGCGCTGTAAAATCGTAACAATCAATTTTATTTCTACATAAATTTAACAAGAAGTTAAAGGGACTGTGGCACAATAAGTTCACTAAAATATCCATATTATCAGAGGAAAATCTCAACTACTTATTCAAGATTGTTAACTGAGAACTCTATCTTACTGTTACCAGTTGCATACGCAATATAAATTAAATATAAAAAATATAAAAACATTCCCTAAATTCAAACTACTTAAACCTTGTATTTTGACGATTCCCCTGTCTACGAGGACAGTGGAGAAGACACCAATGGTAAAAGATAAATGTATGCTGTTCTAGGACTTTGGCCCTATTCAGCCTTGGATATGATAGGATCTTTGACTAGTGTTACAAACAGAATCTGTATATCACGGTGTATTGACTTTTTGCAGCTACTGGTGATTGTTAAGTTTGACGGTTATTGATTGTGATTGTGGGTAGGTTGTAGTCACTAAGGGTTTATCATAGTTGTGTGATTGTTCTGGATTGGGTTGTTTTGGCAGGCTGATGGGGTAGTCAATTATGATGAGGTTTTGACAGTTGGTCAAGTAAGGGTGGAAAAATTGCTGAAGCATTTGTAAGGTTTAGACGGTTGAGGTATTTTAGGTTGAGATAGTTGAAGAGTCCATAAATGGTGGTAGAAAATGAGAATGCGGCTCGAGGCATCAGCTGGTCTGGGGAGGGAGATGAATCGTTAGTCATAGAACATGACTTTCAAAGATTTCTTTAGTGTTAGCAAAACAGGAGTGCCGATGTAGACCTGTGGGGGTGCGTGCGTTTGAAGGGACTTGACCTGGTCTCCATCGGCACTCTCGTTTTGCTAACACTGTAAAGATATGGTTGTCGGTGTTGTCAAGAGAAGTAAATTTGCATCGTTTAGGATGAAACGGATATAGTAGTGGTTTGGCGAAGATAGAACTAAGCAAAGACAACAGCAGCTAGGTACACAATACCAAAGAAAAAACATACTCCCTCAGTAGATTTGCCATCCTTATGGATGTGCTGAAGACAATTTTATTGTTAGTTCTGTCTGGTGCAGTGTAGGGGTCGTGTTTTGTTTATAATTTGTTTCTTGTTATTTCAGTAATTTAAAACCTCGTTTAACCAAATAAAACGATCTAATCATAAACAATGACTTGTCCCTAGTTATATAACCAAAAAGTAAAGCACAAATCAAGAAATTAAAACTTAAATTAATATAAACAAAATCTCATCGACACTAGCGATCAGTGTCACCAACATGAACTAGACGAAAAACGAGCTTCAAAATTGACAATGGGATGAGAAATCTACTTGTGTTGGTTAGTGTATGACAATACTCACCAGAGAGCAGAGTCTACTACTTGAGTGTGTTTGTTGGTCGCCACTATGTTCCACAGCCATTTGAGTATCTGACATACTGTGTCGTCTGACTCTCCAGCAGTAGACTTCTGTACTGCAGCTACACTCACCAGCTCACATAGACTGTGGAGATAACGTCACAATTAAACAAGCCTACAACATACCAAACTAAACACCATAAGCACAGTTATCGCTAATATTTTTAAATATTTTTGATAACTTTAAATTTTAATACAGTAGAACTCCAATTATCTGAACTCCAATTAACCAAATCCCCGACTATCCAAATCGTTGAAGAAAGATTTAAAAAGAAAAACTTGAAACCACAGAAATAAGAATCGTTATTAAAGAAAGCAAAAGCTGTGATCGCAAAAAATCCAAAACCTCTCTCACGGTCATGTAGAAATCATTACCGTCTCCCACGGTCACAGAAAATTAATACCGCCGCCTTTTGCGATCCCGGCAAAAGCTTGAATTTTTTGATAGCGTAATCTTGGCAGTCACATTCTGCAATCGCAATAGTAAACGGTCAGCTCGACTCTGCATACAAAAAAAATACCCTAAATTTAAAAACTATCCGATCATCTGAATTTGTATTATCTGAATGTGGTACGGTCACATTTATTATCCAGCTACTTGGAGGTCACGGATTGTGGATATTTATAGGCATGCACTGTGGATGGGATACTCCCTGGTGTGGATTAACGTCCGCACTAGTGAGTACTACTACTATCCGCAGTACTATCCTGATAATTAGATCAATTCGTATATACCAAGGAAAAAATGTGGTTCGGATTCCACTATAAACTGTAGGTTCCTTAGTTGCCATTAGCTGTTTGGGCTATTAATTAACAGCTGTGTCTAAGGAATGTCGGCCTTAGTCACTAACAAGACTACAAGATCGCGCCACTCATCCTACACTCATCTCCATTCATACTTGGCTTAAAATACCTACATAGTATGGTCGCCATTTCATAAGAAAGTATAAAGTATAAAGGTCCAAATTGATTCGGATAATTAGAATTCGACTGTTATTTCAAAATTCATAGTCCTTAACTTGTTCCACAACATCAAGCAGAAAAATTCAATAATAATCTTTAATGCTGTAATCTCTTTAATAAACAATAAATAGAGGAAACTTCCAGACAACAAGAACTTCTTACAAATTCAACAAACACATAGAATAACACACCAAGCATAGGTAGAATTTTGGTCTCAACGTGTCTCTACGTGCAACACCGCCTTACCTGCAGAGCACCAACGGTCGCTTGTCTTTGGAGAACCTCGGAGACAAGCTGCGCCAGATGGTGAGAATGTCTACTACGTCTTGACGACACAACGGGATGAGAGCGTCGAGTGCGAGCGCCGAAGCAGCTGCATCTCTTGGCGCACTGCACCGGTTAAGCAGATCTGACACTTTCGCTACCAACTCCTTCCCATGCATCTCCGGCCTGCAAAACAACGTTGCAAGTGACTTGGAGTTCTATTTTGCATTGTTGAAATTGGCGTGAATACGTTATTTGAATATAGAAATAACTAGACATACAATTCCTGTACAAGATTGTGGTAGATTTTAGAATAAAAATGGATAAAGTTGAGTAAGAAACTCAACAGAATGTGCTGATTTTACGGTTTAAGGGTCCAAACCCTTCATAACAATTTTTATTTATGATAAAATCAGGCTTAACAATTAGAAACTGAAGTATAAAGTTGTTTAAAAGATTAGCAAAGTGCTCGTATTTTTTAAATCCAGGTGAAAAAACCTGGATCAGAAAGATCTTGGGTTTAAACTTTACATTTTGTGTAAATTACTGCTGTGTTTAAGTTTCCTGGCTTTAAACGCTCAAGTAAACTTTTCCGAAGGCAACGATCTGTAGAGTGGCTGGTTTGTTAACCAGTTTTATCAATGTAAAACTATTTTTGAATAGGCCTACCTTAAGAACACAAAACAAAACTACAAAACGCCGTTCCCACTCAGCTTTGTCAAAAATCTATTGGTAAAGCGACCCATATTTTTCCATGAAAATGGTTAGCGTCTTCGTACTGGAAAATTTACGAAAACACCAACGTTTGCACATAAAATAATCCAATACAACACACCAATAATGAGTTGATTATAGAAAAATTTCAAATCTTTCGGGTCCAACTCTGACAATTCGAAACCACATACTTAGCTTGGCAGATGACCTTGCAGATGTTTGCTTGTAGCATGTGGGAAACACAGGGGTCGTCCTGGCAAGACACGTCTTGGTTGAGAATGTTCATAAGTTGGGGGAAACATCGCTCTTGGTTCTCCCACAGTTGGCAATACAGGTCTACAGCCAGTAGTGAATTCAGCTGGTTCACTCGTCTGATGGCTTCTATAGTTGACACTACACCCATCACGTTGTTCTGGAAACAGGATGATGTGATTGGATTTGTATTCTATTAGACATTCTAAGTGAACTGCTGCCACTTGATAACTTAAATGATTTGAGTTTGAATCAATGATCCTCATATATAAGCGTTGAAATGAGACCTGAATCCTAAAAATCGATTAAGTACGTCGTCTGAAAAAGGGATTTTACAGAGAAAAACCTTTTTGTACAAAATATATTGATGAATTTCAACGAATGGTGTTTCTCTGGGAACAAGATCCACTTGTAGTGTATAAATAAATCAAAAATAAAATAAATCTTCTACTTTATGAAAAAAATAAATTAACCCTAGGTGTCTCACCTTGTCTACGGCTGTACGAGGGAGAGATCTGAGTAAAGCTAGATTGATCTCTGGATGCTTCTCTCTAGGAAGATGAAATAACAGCAATGTGAGAGTGTGAGAAGAGGCTATTGGTGCTTGAGACTCAACTACTGCTGGCAATGCTGCCAACCTAACCTGAAACAATACAATAACATCAATGTGAGAGTGTGAGAGGAGGCTATTGGTGCTTGAAACTCAACTACAGCTGGCAATGCTGCCAACCTAACCTGTAACAATACAATAACAGCAATGTGAGAGTGTGAGAGGAGGCTATTGGTGCTTGAGACTCAACTACTGCTGGCAATGCTGCCAACCTAACCTGAAACAATACAATAACAGCAATGTGAGAGTGTGAGAAGAGGCTATTGGGGCTTGAGACTCAACTACAGCTGGCAATGCTGCCAACCTAACCTGTAACAATACAATAACAGCAATGTGAGAGTGTGAGAGGAGGCTATTGGTGCTTGAAATTCAACTACAGCTGGCAATGCTGCCAACCTAACCTGAAACAATACAATAACGGCAATGTGAGAGTGTGAAAGAAGGCTATTGGTACTTGAGACTCAACTACAGCTGGCAATGCTGCCAACCTAACCTGAAACAATACAATAACGGCAATGTGAGAGTGTTCTCTCACAATTTAAGAGAACCTCATTTATCAATTTTCTTTGTGTAAAAAACTGTACACTTCTCCCCCACAGCATATATTTACGATTAAAAACTTTACATGTAGACAATATTTAAGAGGCTATGTCTGATATGATCAGCTGACAGTTCACTTGACAGCTGATACAACACTCACCTCAGTGGAAGGATGAGAGATGAGGAGAGCACTGACATACAGATGTGTCTGATCCAGCTCAATAGTGGAGTTGCACCTCAGCCAATCTAATGTAGCTGTTTTGTCCGTCCTTAGGATTTCACTGAGTCTGTAGGAATAAGCAATGTGTTTGATTACGATAGCAACAGTTAGTTACACACAACAATTATATACCCCCACTAAACCCCATCCGAATTATCAAATTATCCAGATTATCGAAATTACCTATAAAAAATCCAGCATGCACCATTTGAGTAAAAACTATTTTAAAAATTGAAATGTTTTATTATAGGTACAGTAAATACTGTTAATACTGTTCTATGAAATGGGGACCATACAAAGTAGGTATTTTAAGCCAAGTATGAATTCAATTGAGATGAGTGTAGGATGAGTGGCGCAATCTTATAGTCTTGTTAGTGACTAAGGCCGACATTCCTTAGACACAGCTGTTAATTAATAGCCCATACAGCTAATGGCAACTAAGGGACCTACAGTTATAGTGGAATCCGAACCACATTTTTGCCTTAGTAATTACGAATTAGTCTAATTATCAGGATAGTACTGCGGATAGTCGTAGTACTCACTAGTGCGGACGTTAACCCACACCAGGGAGTACCCCATCCACATTGCATGCCTATAAATATATCTACAATTCGTTAGGTGGGATCAATCATAGACAAATAGAATAATTATGCTGTAGACCGTCAGCTGTGCTGTGGTTAAAAGAAGTTTTGGCATCCACCACTAGGGTTTGCCGTGTAGTTACGGCGCACACCGCTGCAGCGTCTGCTGGTCGCATACGGCTCCTGCACTCCCCGCTTGCTGCGGTGTGCTCCGTAACTACACGGCAAACCCTAGCGGTGGACGCCGGAACCTTCCTTTGACAGTCTATATTTATTCTATTTGTCTATGGATCAATTTAAAACATTTTGTTACGTTCAATTACTGTATCATATTTCACTTATAGCAACATGTGTACAATGTGCAGTAAAACCCATCATACATAACATATTTGACATATCTGACACTACATATTCTCCCATCGCCCACTCTAAAGTAAAGAGATTAGTGGATGGGCAGACAGTACGAAATTTTATTTCTTGCTAGAGACAAATCTAGATTATTGACGATCGGGATTTTTTATGTCTGAATTATCAACGATCAACTGTACTCTTCTTTTCTTCTACTGTACTCTTCTTTTCTAACGCCTTGTTTACCTGTACAAGAAGGATCAACCGGTAAAAACTTTTACCCTGAGAGTCACTAGTTGCACCCTAATGACAACCTTTCTCTCAACTTTTTCTTCTCTCCAAAATGGCTCCGTCTCAGACAAAGTGCAAAGAGGCACTACTAGAGAAGCAAAATATTTTATCCGCACCTCATCTTATCAAAATTATCTTCCTTGGGAACGTTATGAATGGCTCGACTTCCAACAGAGACTTAGTGTTGGTAATGATCCGTTTGAAATGAAATGAAAATCGTCTTTATTCTTGAGCGTTTTTCATATTACAACATAAGCCTATGTTTTTCAAAACAACTCACGTCAACATAAATCTACTGGTAACTGTATCTACTGGTACCGTTTGCTCCATTGCTGCCAGCTTCTGCATGAACAATGTGCTATTGAACAATCGCTCACATGATTTCTTTGTTCTAATTTTAGGGATGAATTAATTTTTCTATACACTCTAGGGTAGGTACTGAAATCACTTTTTATGGAATTTCAGCAAAGTTTTCAAAAGTTGTATTAAAAATACAACAATGGGACTAGAAAATTATCCATACAATTTGTGAGGAATAAAATACCAAACAAGTTTAATTCGATTTCTTGAAAGAACATTAATGGATGCTGCGTAATATTTTAGGAGCGGAAATGGGAAAGGAATTTTTATCCACATCACTAGTGAAGATAGACCAATGATGTTGTGAGGCATCAAAAGTAAATAACCTCGCAATATGCAGCGCCTGGGTGAGTCTGGGATCGGCAGAGATGAACGCAGACACAGCAGGGTTGCCAATTAAGGTGGCGGTGGTGGAGGGAGACGTGTTGGTACCACTGGCGTGACTCACTATCAGGGTAGCACTGTGTAGTGCCTTGTGGAGGTGGCTGGGGTTGCTGGCCAACCACGGCATCAATGCACTAACGCACATCCACACACAATCAAGCGAGCTTTGGTTTTGGTGCAGAATCTCAACTACTGTAAACAAATCAATTGAAACTCACATTAGCGAAAAGTACAGTGACAAGTGAATAACAGTTTTGAACTCAACCTAACATTTCTCTTCAACCTGCTCTCTGAGAATGTCCTGTATTAGGACGAAGTAACAGTGTTTTTTTTTTACTTTTTTTGTGCTTATTAGCCACTAGATTCTAATTTTTTCAGGTGAGCTTACTGATCTCTATTACTTTGCCAAAAAAAGAGAGAACAAGTCACACATTTAACTATGTTTAAATTGACTGCAAAATATGATACAGCTGGTCCATATGGATGGAATGTCTAAAGTTCCAGACAGCCTATGCTCAACCAAAGGGTTGGGTTCGTGTTCTATTCCATGTATTGTTTGCTTGTGCGAAGGCTGATCCTTTATTATAGGCCAACCACTTTAAAAAGAACCTGTGCAGAACCACGGCTGTCTCGCGCGTTGTAGGGGTGATGGGGGGGAAGGGCCTGGAGCGGTGGTGGTGATAAGTCGTTGGCGAAGGGTGAGGGGTCTTTTCCCAACACTCTGACTCTCCTACATGCGCGACTCAAACAGGTGCATGGGTTTTTTCTAAGTGGTAGGACTATAGTGTTGCTTGACTGAGCTCACACTTAAGGATCTGGAAGCCCAGTAACGATAAGTAATTTTGTAATAATGTAATTTTGTGGTTTATCGAAAATCCCTGTTGAACACTTATGCCAGAAAAAAAATTACAGAAAAAAAACTTTTTATCACTATTGGGCTCCCTGGTCCTTTTTAGTGTGAACTCATTTGAGCGGCAGTAAGGATTGGCCAAAATACCCGTGCACAATAACTGTCTTAGGACACAGACCCAACCTTTTGGTTAACCATAGCCTGTCCTGAACTATAGTCTACTTCAGTATCAACAAGTCACACATTCAACTCACTAAACACAAGCAAGTGTTCCAAGTAAGGTGCTGGACAGGTAGGAATGGAGTCAGCCAGTAGTGCCAACAACGTAGAGTGAGTGTTGACAGCTGTTTGAGCCAGTGTTGCCAACAGTCGCAAGGCAGGCTGAGGACAGACTGCGGCCTGTAGTAGTCTGGGTACCAGTCCTGCCAACGCGAGGCAGCATAGTGACACATGCAGTCCGTGTTTACTGTTGAGAGCTGACTCACTCAGTAGTGACACAATCTCTACTGCTTCCAACACTTTGGCGTTGTTCCAGCACTGTCAAGTAATACATTTGATTAGTTTTTTTTAAGACTTCAGAAGGATCAGGAGGCATGTTCATGTAAGAAGAATAAAGATGTAAGATACTTAAAATATGGAGAGGTTGAACGGAAGGGAGATGCCCACATGGACGAAGAAATCAAGGTGGAATATCCAAGGATGAAGGATGAAGCAACTTGGAGAAGTTGACGAGTCAGAACAACAGAGTCACTAAAAGTAACTTGTCAGGAAGGCCTGACATTTACCTGAGATTTAGGAGCCACAGGAGTAAACTAAGTTAGTATAATATCGCGTAAAGTTGTACTTTCTCATGCTAAGGATAAAATATGAAGCACAAGGGCCTAACTATTTTGGGTTTTAGTTATGATAGCCGGTTTACTTACCTAAATGGGAATGAGTTTACCTGGATCAAGAAACAAAAAAAGTTTAAACAACCCACTAACATAAGAATATTACACTGACCCTAGCAGTATTTTCAGTTTAGTTGTATTTAGTTTGTCCTGAAGATATCGATCTTCCCAACCCAAACCTTCATTGGTCAGAAATGCTGTCAGTGACTGTGAAATGTTCTACAGTGACTGTGAAATGTTCTAAAGTGACTATGAAATGTTCTACAGTGACTGTGAAATGTTCTAAAGTGACTATGAAATGTTCTACAGTGACTGTGAAATGTTCTACAGTGACTGTGAAATGTTCTACAGTGACTGTGAAATATTCTACAGTGACTGTGAAATGTTCTACAGTGACTGTGAAATGTTCTACGGTGACTGTGAAATGTTCTACAGTGACTGTGAAATGTTCTACGGTGACTGTGAAATGTTCTACAGTGACTGTGAAATGTTCTACAGTGACTGTCAAATTTTCTAACTTTTGTTTATTGTGTTAAATTTTGTTGTTATTCAATCAACCACAGTGGATTCAATCCCATTCAGTTAAACCTGATACCCTGACAAAATCCTTACAAACTTTTATCGATCAAATTAATTGCACACATTTGATTTTATTTGTAAAATAAAGTTGACGAAATAACATTTTTAATAGAAAACGTTGTAACCTACTAACAAACTCGACTGTTGGTCATTGTAACCCTTACCGCCATTTTGAACAATCAGAGGGCGGAGAACGTTGTTATTGGGATTTACCACGTGAGATGTTTCCCAATAGCTGCTGCACTCTATCGGCAAAACTGGGAACTACCAAGACCAGTCAATGCACTGTGTATTAAAAAGGCGAGTATAGTCGTCCATAGCGTTTTGAGCAAAGGGAATTTTGGCGAGTATATGGGTATTTTACAGAAAATAGGCGAGTCTACGAAGATTTCATGATCGAAAAATCACACTTTCACCGCGATTGCGGAGGACAATTATCATTTTCCGTGACTACAGGAGACGAAGATGATGTCTACAAGACCGAGGAAGATATTCTAGATTTTGCTGCAGTCGCAAAAATAAATGGAATTTTTTCCCGTAACCCTGGGAGACGATGATAATTACTACACAATTAATTGCGGGATACATATAATTCACATTTTGCTGCGATCACGGAAGACGATGATGGCGTTTCTGTGACTGCGGAGAGGTTTAGGATTTTGCCGAAATCACAGTTTCTGCCTTCTCTAATCACGATTCGTATTACTGTGATTTAAAGTTTTTTTAAATTATTTCTGTAAGCGATTGTGATAATTAGGGATTCAAATAGTTAGAGTTTGGATAGTTGGAGCTCTACTGTACTTGTATTCTACCGAGGATATAATTTTTTTACCTAAGATTGGTGATATTCGTCCATGCATAAAATCCATATCCACCAACCACATGCACAAGCTTACCAGGCAAGAAGCCAGAGCTTCAATGAGAAATTCCCCATCAGAGTAGTGGTTAATGATGACTTTGAACACCTTCAGTCTGCTGGACTCTGTTAAGTCCGTTGCCTCCCGCAAGACGTATACAAGAACTGGCTTGACAAGCTCTAGGCTTTGACTTTGAACCCTGCACAGATGAAGAGCAGTAATACAACAAAAATTTCATTATGTTAACATGTAGGCCTACATTTTTATGTTTTAAGTATCCTTCGTAATATATCTGTAAAAAAAGTTCTAAGAACCTCATGGGTGTTTTCTATTGGTTTATAATGATTCAAATTTGCACTCAATACATTTCATTTCATATAACTTTATTCATTAAAGTGCAATATATAGATACAGGAATGGCGTCAAGAGTAATTTAATAAAACTAACTAACTAAAATACTCATCATTATCATGCATGGCATAACAACATACCATCAATATTAATAGCTTTTCAGATCAAATAAATTAAAACAAGCAGTGCAATATGAAAGTTTATACATGAAAATATCAAAATTAAAAATAGGCCTATAGATAAAATTATTTTAAAACCAAAAGTTTCAATTGATATGAAACAGAGCAATTAATAACTTACAGAACTAAAACTCTTCAAAGGAGTACATAGCCTTGTTGATAAGAAACTTTTTCAATTTTGATTTAAATTTATTTTTGGAAGTTTCTAATTTGATTTCTTTAGGAAGTTTATTATAAAATTTGGAACCGGCATATTTAGGTGTCTTCGTAAAAAGTTGCAGAGTATGTGAGCTTGTGGCCAGGTTTTCTCGATTTCTAGTGAAGTAATTGTGATAGTCTCCAATAAGTTGTAATTCATTAAATCTGTCTTTTACTGATAATACTGTTTCATAGACATACATTCCATAAACAGTCATAATATTCTCAGTTTCTGCGTAATACTGCGTTTTAAATTGCACAAAATTCTAATAGCTTTCTTTTGCTTTTTTAAAATTGATTTTAATTTTTTCTTTTTTGCTGCACCATAAAGTGAAACTCCAAATGATATGATTGAATGTATGTACGAAAAATATATAATTTTTAAAGTTTCCTTTTCACATAGGGGTTTTAATCTTGTTAGCGAATAAGGCCAGAAGAAATTTTAGAAAGTAACTGATCAATATGATGATTCCACTTCAAATGTTCATCAATTTCTAATCCCAAGAATTTGATGTGGTCTTTATTTTGAATTATGTTGTTATTAACTACAATTTTTGGCAGATTTTGCGGTTTAGTTTTTCCTGCTTGGAAACACATAAAATTAGTTTTATCTGTATTCAAACCCAAATTATTCGAATTAAAAAAACTGTTAAGTAATAATATATCAGAATTGGCCTTGGCTTCAAGTTCAGCATAGGTTCAGCATACATGTAAGTTATATTGCTATCACACAAATGGAGTATCCCAAGTAGCAACACAATATTGTTAAAATGTTGAAATAATGTTGCTTAACATTGTCAACAATATTGTTCTGAGAATATTGTTTTAATGTTGAAGCAAGATTTTCCCAACATTGATCAACGTTTTATGAAAATATTGTTTGATAATATTGATTAATGTTGAAAAATTATTATTTCAACATTAACACATTATTTTCCCAACATTGATCAACATTTATTGAAAACATTGTTGTCAATATTGAATAATGTTGAAATAATTTTTATTTCAACATTGAAACAACATTAATAAGATTAAAAACTGTTTATGGACTCAGCTCATCCTGAAAATCAAAATAAATATAAAATAGGCTTTTATTAAGTAATAAAGGGAAAGATGTTGATGCTAAAAACAAAATACTAAAATGAAAATTCTTCCCAAACGGGTAGAAACAAAAATATCTTCAATTTAAATTAGAACTAGTTTCTTGTGCGCGCCATTAAAACGCGCGCGGATGGATCTTTAGCTAGCATCTAGCTAGCATGGTAGCATCCATCTTCCTCTTCCATCATCGGCACTCGGCAGCTCCAGAGCATCTTTCATTTCAATCAATCATCTCTAGTCCTAGTCTCAATCTCTTAATTTTTATTTCACTTACTTCACACCATGTTGCAATGATTGTATTTTTCCCTTTGCTTTGAGATTCTGATGTATAATAATACAATTATTTACGGCTGAATACAGTTTTTTAATGGTGGTCAACTTGAGATACCAGCTTTGCTTTAAGGTAAGTGCATCTTGTTATCAAGTTAAGTTTTGCATTCATAGTTACATACCAAAGTAGGCTAGGCTTGCACTCTAGTCGTAACTTAATATAGCCAAGCCTAATTTATTAAAATCTTTTAACCTATAAATGCAGTACCAACTGCTAAGATTGATTGTTAACACACAAATAAAATATGTAAGTGTAATCGTATGCAAGGCTATGTAGGCTAAATAAGTTAGGCCTATAAGGCTAATATTTATAAGCAAACAAAAAAACTCATTTGAATGCTGAAAGAAAAAGTAAAACCTAGCCTAATCATTGAGATCATTGTGAATGCATTTGCCCAGAAAATTGAAGTTATACTAGGCCTACTTAAGTTAATCATCTCATCTTTTTTACCTAACCTTAATTTAGACGTAAATGCATTTTCCTGTTTTGCCATTGCAGTTTAACCTTTGACATAGCCTAGGATGTCAATATTATTTTATCTAAACTTAACATACCAAAGCCAATTTACAACTTCATAGTAGGCTACAATTTAATTATCCTATGAATTGGTCAATAATTTGTAAATTTAACCCTCCGAGTGTCCATTGTTTTGGCCTTAATGTCTGCCTATTCTTTGCTCATTTGCAAGGTTTTATTAAAACGGATCTGAGAAGCTTGAAAACAATGTTAATTATACTGTTCTATATACCATTTTGTTTGGAAAATCATGGGCTTCAATATTATACATAAAACATATGGAACATTTGTTTCAAAAAATTTTTTTAGGTAAAAAAAAATATTTTGGAAAATTTTCAAAAAAAAATAAGTTTGCGCTCAATGAAATTGTATAAATTATAGGGCTATAAATATTTGAAAATAGCCACTTTGTTCTAAATTTTATGAGGATTACAAATATATAATAATATAAGGAAGTAGATTTGCAAATAAATAAGTTATGGGCAAAAAACAGATTTCAGTACATAGCGTTTAGCTAAGAATGCATAGCCTAACCATAGCTAGGAATCTGGCTGATAATTTAAATAAATATCACTAGGTACCTACTTCTTCAGGATCATCAACCAACCCTTCAAAATCACTTAAATCTTCTTAGAATGCACCACGTATATCACTACTTTGATTTTTAACACTAAAACAATGATAAACGTAATAACTTAAAACACATCAGTCATTGGTCCGAGGTTAAGCAAGCTGTTTACAAATACGCATGTCAGCTGTCTGCTACAATATTTTCGGAACTAAAATGAATAGCGCTTAGAGAAAGACCTCCGGAGAAAGCTCTGAATTTGTAAAATAAAACGATACCTAACTCGATCCAGTTCAATCCGATTTCGTCAGTCATAGAGCCTTCGCCGTAAACAGTGTTTGTGAGTCGCTGCAGCGACAAATGACACTCGGAGGGTTAAAGTAGGCCTAGGCCTAACTTACATTAAGTTACCGTTGGCTTTTTTATAAGCGGAATAACTTAATAAGTTATTTAATCCCAAGAATAATTTTAATGCTAGGGCCTGCATTGATCGATTTTACTACACTAATTTAGCTAATTTCGACCTCTAAAGTTAAGTTAGCTTAACCTACCATTACAACTACTTACAGTAGCCTTAACAGTAAAAAGTTAAGCTTATGTATACTAAAATTATTTTACTTAAAACTGAAAGATCAGTTGTTAACATTACCGTATTACTTTAGTTGGGTATCTGTGTTATTTTAGTTCATAGGTACCGGTACCTAACTAATTTAGCCTTAAAACTTATCTAATTCGTGGGTAGCAGGCCTAACTTGTTCTGTACCGGTCAAGGTTGCTGTACTTTAACTTATAGGCTATTCTTATTTGTTTGTTATGACTTAACTTATGTAGTCACACTGCTTATGATTAAGTTGTGGCAGTAATTTAAGCTTAACTGGAACGGTAACCAACCTGTACATTTTTGGGTACTTGAGTATTAAACGGAGGCCACATTTTGTCAGCGCGCTGCGGCGGTTATGTTAGGTTGGGTTATCATAATAGAAAGTATAACTCGTCTGGTATCGTTCGATTCATAACGAAGCGAGGAAAGTCCTACACACATGATATTTACGATAACCCAACCTAACATAACCGCCGCAGCGCGCTGACAAAATGTGGCCTCCGTTTAATACTCAAGTACCCATTTTTGCTTGTCTCTTGCATACAAAAAGCACTTAAACACACATTCTTCACAGGCACGAGGCAGAATAACAATACGTTATTTAAAACCTAAAATCACTTTTATGCTAGGGCCTAAATTGATTTTACGATAGGCTCTACCTTAAGTTAAGTTACTACGTTAATTTCAACCACTAACTTACCATTACAACTACAGTAGCCTAATAGTTATAAGTTAGACTAAAAAGATATTTTAAACTAAAATATCAGTCGTTAACATCATCACTTTACATAAGTGTAGTTGGGTTGTGTTATTTTAGTTAATAGGTACCATTAAATTACTCTTTAATATTATAATAGCCTACCGCATTGTTTATGTTGAGTTTTTGTTTTCGTTAACCAAAACTAAGATCGAAAAATCATCAATAATAATGAATGTTCTCTCTAACAGGAAAGTACCCCTAACTAACTTACATTAATTTGTTGGTAGGCCTAACTTGTTCTGTTCCGATCAAGGTTTGCTGACTTTATATAGGCTATACTTATTTGTTTGTTTTAACTTAGTCACACTGCTTTTGAATATGGCGCAGTAATTAAAGCTTAATTCAAACAGTAATCAACCTGTACATTTTTGCAGGTGTCTTAAGTTACATAAATACAAAAATCCCTTAACTTAAACACTCTTATTCTTCACAGGCTCGCAGGCACGTATAAAACCACGGGGCACGAGGTCAAAATAAAATCAGTAGACTCTACACAAGACTGACCAAGTTTCTAACATCCTTTGAAGCTACAGGTAATTGACCTTTTCAATTGATTTCCTCTGTCAGCTCAGCATGTTAGCCTAGATAGTTTTA